CAACTACGTCAGACTACGTCAAACAAGAAACACTAAGAATCAATTTGACTCGCCAGAACAACCGTGTACTTTGGATCGCGCCATTGGAAAGAGGGGAGACAAAAGAAAGCGCATCAAGAATTTTGTCGGAGAAGGAATACAGACAAGGACCGTCCGAATCCAGTGCAGGCAAGTGCAAGCAAGACGTCCACATCGAACTTAAACACGAAAAGCAACTGGTACAAAATAGTTGCCTAACCATTTGCAAACCTCTTGCATTGGACAACCTCTCCAGCGAGTGACAAACTACGTAGGCGCCACGACTCATCCATGCCATGTTGGTTTTACGGCCGCAGCAGACAAGTAGAACTAAATGGAACCTATGTACAACATACAACAGTTTCACCAACGGCCGATCAGTTCGCGAGCGTGAACGCAAACCATGTACGGCTCTGCTCTGCGTTTTGAAGACACTTTCAGACGACTTTGTAGATGGCTCTTGCCACGTGCCTCACAAGATTGCCATGTTTCAATTGCGCCGCACGAATGCCCAATTTTGCTTTGTTGCCTAAGCAACTGTGGCATTTGGCTGGCCATTGGGCACGTTGAAACTGTGCCTGCCTTGTGTTGGTGTGAAGTCACATTCCTTCGTCGAATCGTCCCACATGCGTCGGAACTGTGTCCTTGAGCACGAGTATGAGCAACAGAGAGGGGAAGCTGTGTGCACAATCAGAAAGAGTGAGTGAGAGAGAGAGAGAGTGAGTTGTTGACAGCGAACTATTTAGAGAGCGGCTTTATTTTGGCAGAAGCGTTTTGGCTGTGGTTTGTAAAAAAAAATCTTGGTGGGCATCCCAACTCTTTAGTCATACATAGATAGGTTTGCCAGGCACTTGGATGCCAAGCAGTTAAGGTTTTCTCGCCAATGGAGAACCAGAAAACCGCTATTTGTTCAAGTCTGAGCCTTTTCTGAACACTTGAAAGCGAGATCCGGCTGTTAGATGATGTTAGATGTATAGATGATGTATAGACGATGTGCAAGGTGTTGAGATGTTTGGGAACCCTGGTCCCTTGCGCTTCTAGCGCTATTAAGGTTGGAGTCCTCTAGTTCATGTAAGCCTGCTTCATTTTTCTCCAGATACAGCAGGACGATGAACGCAGTTCTGACGGGGAGCCAGCTGGGAGGAAGAACGATGAACATGCTTTGCACAGCTGGGGAAACCAAGGTTTTCGGATCTTTTCGACTGAAGAGTTTGGAGCATTTTGGAGCATGGGTTCATTCTTGTAAGCGTTTGAGAAATGTTGCATGGAAATGTTTGGTTTTGATGAACTTCCAGTGCACTTTGACTCAAAATTGTTTCCCTCGATTTCTCAACAGTAAAAAGAGCAAGAAGAATTTGGTCGCTCAAGACGCAATGGTCATGGATCAAGTCTCTAATTTGCACAAATCAAACCTGTTTCAGAGCGTAGTTGTTGGTTTGGTGGTGGGCCGGTGGGCTGTTATGTTTTCAAGGTGTGTGGCACCTCCAATCTAGCTCCCTGGGGCACAGCGTGCCTCAGAATTTGTCAAAGTGTGGAGCGAGAGTTGCAGACCGATGTGTCCAAAAAACACCAATCTAATAATTTAAGACCAAACGCATCTAATTTTCCTCCTGAGGTACGTTTACAGATGCTTTCAGTCAGTTGAGATGTTGCACGAATTTGATCAAGAACAATGGAAGCTGAATTATGGAAGCCAAGATTGAAACAACGAACTGACCAACTTATAACTTGTGGCCAAATGGACTCAATTACTCCTTGCCAGAAACAATTTGTTGTGACACTTTCTTGGAAAAACATATACCCAAGCTCAACTTAAGCTCACCGTTGATCGTGTCAATTTCGCATTTATTGCTATTTTATTGCAAGAAGCTACTAGTAGCAAGTGCATCGCTACTAGTAACAAGTGCATCGCTACTAGTAACAAGT